CTCAAAACTCAGAATGCTATATTTCTTGGAGTAAATAATTTATATTTGGCTTAATGAAGCTACTCTCCTCACTTCAAATAACACAACAAATCGTATGCTATGAATGAATGCTCCATCTGTGGTAATGGGTCATTGGATATAACTTTGGAACTTCCTTATTTAGTCTCTATTTCTAAGGTGTATGATAAAGAAAGATGTTATTGCTTACGGTAGGAAAAAAATTCTGGGAGTGTGTAAGGAGTGTTCACAAAAGGCGCCACAAGATTTTCAATTCATAAGATCTCAACTTGATAATATATCTTTATCTTGGTTAAATAGAATAAATAATTTTGATTAACTAAGTTGGAAGACATTCTATAGTGAAAATTATGTATAAAATCCAATTATTATTATTATCATTATTTTTTTTAAAATTTTATTTAGCTGTTTTCTATCCTTCGGGTATAAGCCTTTCTCTTATTTTGCCAGTTGTTGCGGTTTTGTGCCACCTGGTACCAGTTCAGTCCTGCCGCTCGTTTCAAATCGTAGCTCCATCTCATTTGTGATCTTCCTGTGCTCCTTCTGTTGCTCCATGGTCTCCATCGAATTAGTTTACCACTCCACTTATCCTGGACTCTTGCGACGTGTCCTGCCTGCCCAGTCCCATTTCTGAACGGCGGCGCGTTGCATGACATCGTGCACTTTTGTTTTTCTCCTGATCCATTCATTTATTCTACTATCCCTTAATGACATCCCAAGTATTCTCCTATCAATAGCTCTCTGGTTTACTTTAAGTTTTTCAAGTATAGCTTCCGTTAAGGTCCAAGTTTGTGACCCGTAGGTAGTTACTGGTAGGATACACTTATTGTATAATTCGGTTTTGAGGTTTAGGGGTATGTCCACTGTAACTGTAACCCTTCCTAAACCCAGCATCCTCTTTTGGCTGGTAGTAGTCTAACTTTGGTGTGAGATGGTTGGTTATTATTTTCAAGAATAATTTATATATTTGGGGTAGCAGGTTAATCGGTCTGTAATTTTCTATGTTCTCGGTGTCTCCCTTTTTGTGAATGATTGTCACGAGGGCGTTTGTCCAGTCCTGTGGCCATATGATGTAATGCTAGTCTGATTTCGTCTTTTGTGATCTCAGGTATGTCTTCAAGTTGAAGTTCATGACTTTCACTTCCTGGTCTTGTTCGAATATGTCGCTAGTTACTTTCGTCTCGTATAGGTCAGCATAGAATTCTTGTACCGTCCTTATAATTTCGTGTCTTCCTTCGATTATTTGTCCTGTTTTGTCTTTGATTCTGACAATTTCTTTCTTTATATTCGTCGTTAGTCTTCTGAACACTTTCGTCCCTTTGTGTTGTTCCAGTACTTTCTGCGCGATTTGCTCATTGTGTTTTCTGATGTCCTACTTTGCCATCTTTCTGGCGATTTTATTTGTTTCGGCGTATTCTGCTGATGATCTTTTGTTATTTGTTATAAGTTGTCGTCTTTTATCTAGCATGTTTAGTGTTTGCGCGCTTAGTTTATTTTGCTTTTTAGTTTTTGTTTCTGTGTACGCTTCTGCTGCTTGGTTTAGGGTGTTAGTTATCGTTTTATTTGCTTCGTTTATGTCATGAGTACTCGGTGTCTGCTCTTTGAATCTATTTCCGAGGTATATTTGGACTTTATTTAGGTCGTGTTGGAGTTTATCTCTGTCAATCTGTTTGTGTATCGACTTTTTGATTTTTCTTCAACGCTCTAGTTTTTGGTTTATGCTTATCCTTGCCCTCACCAGACGATGGTCGCTTCCAGTATCAAATCTGTTCAATACCTCGACGTTTTGTACCTACTATTTGGATGTTCTTCGTTAGAATATAGTCGATTTGGTTGAAAGTTCTCCCATCTGGGCTTGCTCAGGTCCATTTACGGTTGCGTGTTTTTTTTAAAAAGGTGTTAGCGTTGTAGAGATGTTCTTCTTCCAGAAAGTCAGGCATCGTTGAGCCTCTGGAATTTCTTTTGCCTAGCCCGTGTTTGCCTACATATTTTTCCTCTGGGTCTACTTGGCCTCCAATCTTGCAGTTGAAGTCGCCGATCACTAAAACTTGTGATGTTTAATTTCTGCGCATTCCTTCCGAGATATCTTCGTAGAATTTGCTGACGTCTTCGTCTTCGGCGATGCTTGTGGGAGCATAGGCCTGAATTATCTTCAGTGTTTCCAGTTTGTTTATTTGTAACGTAAAGCATTTTTACGTTGTCTGTTAGTCTTCTGTGTATCAAGTATGCCTACGCCACCAAGACTGGAGTTTTCGTGTCCTTTCTAGTAGAGTTTATGACCTGATTTGAGCTTGATATAGCCTTCGCCTCTTTTCCTTGTTTCACTTATGCCAATCACGTCCCATTTGATTTTTTCTACTTCCGCTTCCAGTTGTTCAGTTCTGTCTTCCGTCGCCATTGATCTAATATTGTACGTAGCAATGTTCATCTTTGTGTGGCAGCCTGATCTATTCCAGTTATTCTTCGCACCCTCCGCCTTTCCATTCTGGCTACAGCTACCGTTTGTAGGGAACTTTCCAGCTGCTGGGGACTGAGGGCCTTTGATTTTTGTTCCTATTCATTTAATATAACGGGGGGTTTTTGGCATTTAAAACACTATGCTTGCCAAGCGGGTTGGTGAGTTAGGTTTCAGCCGCCCATTTCGGGTACAGACGCTGTTGTCAGCCGCCCACTCTGGATCAAACACTGTCGGTATTCACCATATCTGGCTATTCTCAACTTAGTTTTGCCTGCAGGTCGATGTAGTTGCCCGGGGTGAGGCACGTGGAGCCATAAGTGAGGATTGGACGTCCTATTAGGACCAGTCATCGCCAATTATTATACCTTCTACCATTTTTAAAAAACGAAATATGTATCTGGAAAATGAAACATCGAAAATGAAATAGAATCCACCAGAAAATGTAATAAATAGAGTATTTCGAATCCGCAAGTAAATTATTATCTCATTAATATATTTCACAGAAATTGTAGCCCTTGAAACTACAATAATAGAAACAACAGAAGCAAATCAACACTTTGAGAAACCAACCTGCAAAGAAGAAAACATACAAAACTGTTGATTTCGGAAGGAAGACTCAAAAGTCAAAGGATCTATGGAGATTCAGAGAACTAATGACGCATAATGAGATTATTTCAAAATATACAGAATGTCACACCAGGAACCAAATTGATCTATACATATATGAAAAACTGTATGCATTTTTAAAAATTTGTCAGTATACTAATGTCAATGGGGGCAACACGGCTAATATATTTTCAATATAGGTGGCACTTCCGGTTATACCGGAAGTAGACATCAACTTGCTTATTTTTAATGGGACACCCTGTATGTGATTGCATATTTGGATTCTACGTAAAATTTTGATTAGATTTCATGTGATATACCCTATACCTATCTTCAACTGTTTTGGAAATATTGATAGTTGAAAACTGACATTTTTCAACTTTGACATGCTGTAAAACCTTAACGGTTGATTTTAGAGGAAAACAGTTCTTACATGCTTGTCTTAGATTTTAATTTAAGTTCATGAAAATCTAAGACTAGGTATAATGTAAAATCGGTTTTCCTCTAAAATTATCCGTTTAGGTTTTACAGCCTATAAAAGTTGAAAAAAGTCAATTTTCAACTGTCAATATATCCAAAACAGTTGAAGATATAAGTAGGTATAGGATATTTCACATGAAATCTGCTCAGAATTTCACGTAGAATCCAAATATGCAATCACATACAGGGTGTCTCACTTGGGTATAAGAAGCAAGTTGATGTCTATTTCCAGCATAACCGGAAGTGCAACCATCTTGAAAATATTTGATGCTGTATTGTTATTTTAATATAACATGAGCGAAATTGAAATCGAAAAGGTATATTTAACGGCCGCTTATGCGTCGGCCGGTTAAATATAAATAACAGGCCGACGGCCGTTAAATTAACGGCCTTAAGATAAGGGTCGCCTGCTGGGAGAGTGTTTTTTTTTTCAGATTGAGAGAGATCTGCACTATAACGAAAAATCTATAACGAAACACGGCCGATAACTGTAACAGCCTTGGCTGATTATGATTCTCGGCTATCGCCTCGGATAACAAACTTCAGCCCGACCGTTATTTGCTACTTATCGGCCTTATAACGTTAATAACTATAACCAGGTTGCCCCCGTTGACATAATTTAAAAAAAAAAATCTGCACACAGTTTTTCATATAAGGATCGATTTGGTTCCCGATGGGACACTCTGTATAGGAAAGTGTACTACTAACTACAGAGAAATACTATTGAAGAAAATAAAAGCATTAAAGCACAAATAACTAAAAAGAGAGAATTTTTTGAACCTAAAAACGACAAAGAAAGGAGATATAGTTGAACAGAAACAGACAAGGCTGTCAAAAATAAAAAAAAAGATCTGTAAGGGAACATGAAGTGATAAATCAAGGCTCCCAGAACATTCCTGAAATAACAATTTACCTGGAGGGGATCACTTGCAGCTGTTGAATTAGATGGCAAAGAAGCTTTCAAACACTTCGGGAATAATGCTCAAGATACAAATTGATCTGTAGTTTGTGGTTAGAGGTCTGTCGAGTTGTGTATAGAGGTTAAAAAACTCACTTTCCAGAAATCAGGAAAGAATATGAAATAGCAATTTCTCAGAAAAATTTGCCATCAGGACCAGCGCTTTTGTTAATTTTTAAGCCGGAAAGCTTTCCATAAGTCTTGGATATATGAATGTAGTAGGTAGGACGAGACCTGACCACTGCCAAATGAAAATTTACAAGAGGGTACCTCATACCTGTTATCAGAATAAATCATTGCAAAAGTTAAAAATTTTCATAATTTTGTCCATCACACAGCATCAGATAATCTTTTTCTTTTTAGGAACTTTCTTGTGAAATAGTTTTTCAGAGGCAAATTAAAAAAGTATCAAACAATTCCAAGGATTTAATGGAATAATTCTTATTTAGTCCACTCTATAAAATCCATAATTCGAATCCCCCAAGTTGACCTCACAAAATACTCATTGTCATTCACTTACCGATAACCACCATAAACTCAATGATAACCTTCTCCAACCTTCTCTTTCTCTGGTGATGATGATGACGGCTACAAACTATCAAAAGTTTTACAAAAAATTATGTTCTCTCCTCGTTTGCCGGTAGACTGGCTCGGACGTTTTTAAGTAGATTTCCAGTAGAGGTCTTTTTTTCAATCCTCCTTTAACGTCATACCAGTCGGGTTCGGATGTTTATTGTCACGATTGTGCAACAATGTTACATAAATGATGATATTTTTGAAGAACAAACATTAATCTATAGTGATTGTGATACTTTATTGAGCATAATAATTAAATAATTATTAGGTTTGGGGATTTAAGTAGTACGCACTTTGTGTTTCCTCTAGAACGTTTAAATGTTGGGTTTGACATGGATAATACCAGATTGACTGCCGTAGTAATGATGATTATTTATTGTTTTCTTAAATGGTAAGTGAATAATAAATACGAGAAGTCAGTTACTTCGAAAAGAAATTGCTAGCTCTTTGGACTTTCTTTTTTTATTTTCATTGTATTTTCACCTGTTTGAAAAAAAAATAAATCATTAACAGAACGTTGACGAAAATTGAAGTTTAACAAAAATAAAGAAATATTTTCCACAAAGGTCTTGATTTTCCTGAAGAAATAATATCTTACAGTAAATTAATATTAGATTTTATACATCCTATACTTAACATACAAAAATACCAGATAATTGTAACAAAAATTAATTGTCTATAAATATTAAATTAACTGAATATCAAAAATTTCGTTATAAATTCCGTTCAACCACTCACGATGTAGTGCTGAGTGATCAAATTATTACAAGTCAATGCTACCAAATAATAATAAATATTTTTTTCTACTACCGTGCGTAAAGTACTCACTTTACGCACTATTGAGAAGACGTGAAATTTCACTTCACACACTAGTGCGTAAAGTAATGTCAATGACAGATGTCAACACTGTGAAATTACTATTTTTCTGGTAAATTACTTCATGCACTAGTGCGTAAAGTGAGAATACTTTACACACTAGTGCGTGAAGAATTTGTCTAAATTTATTTTTTCACACATATTTGATTGGTAGTAGAAAAAATTTTGTATGCAATACCTGCATAAAGCACCTTTTTTCACTCATGTGATTGTCGCACTCGCCTTCGGCTTGTGCGTCAAAATTCACATTTTTGAAAAAAGGTTCACTTTACACACTTGTTGCATAAATAACTATTGTTGGATTATTGTTTTACATTAATTTTTCTTCCTAATCATTCAATATTCCATAGAACTTACTCGGTAACGTAATTTGAAACGTCTGATGCAATTATTGACGTCGAGCACTGGCAGACAAGGTCAAAGTCATTACATTATTATTTGGGATCCTTCGCATAGGAGTTCGGATAAAGTCTGTTTGTTTGTATTCTATGAATAATAATAATGCAATTACTTTCAGGAACACTGTCCTGCCAAAGTTTACGTCCTGCCCTTCGCAGTTTCATACAAAAGCTTGTGAGTTACAAAGCTAAAAAAATCGTTCTCAAAAAGACATTGCTTAGTCGTTTCGACAATCAGGTCTACATGTCCTAACTTTGTCTTATATTACATGGCAAAAATGAATATGTAGTTAGCGGATTCCGTCTTCTCCAACAATAACAACTTTTATTGGACTTTATACAAAATTCACTAATCGTTTCTACTTAACTTTGCACTGACTTACAAACTACGCGCTTTATGATATACAATTAATCTAATCGAAAAATCTCTAGAATCACGTTAATGTTTGTTTATCTTAGGGCCGGTATTATAAAACACTGAACCGATGGTTGAGTTTCAACCTTCGAACCTTGGGTTGAATCCTAAGGTTTTCATGCGTCCGGATTTGCCCGGACATGTTTGGGTTTTTAGGGTGTCCGGCCGGAATTCGGAGCAATGTCCGGAAAACTCGAAGATCGTGAAAACCAAGGATCTAACTTTGTTAAATATTTCAATCGTCACGATACTACATCTCCATCAATATTGATAGAAGGATTTTCGAACGTACCCCATTTCTATACTCCGGTGTCACTCCAACATCAAATTTTCGTTCGAGCGTGTTCGATGGGCGCTCGGAGCACTATGGAATCGTCTTTCTTTGCTACGACATAGAGGGAGATCGAAATATCATAAAATATTTGACTGATGGCTGATTTTAATCGGGAACTCGCGCGGTGAAACAGGTACTAAATTGGTATCGGTGAATCCCAGGATTCCCAAATCCGTTTAAATTTATGATTTGTGTGGTCCCTGCGGTTTTGCACGCAATGCAACGTTATATTAAATTCTAATAATAAAATGAGTATATTTTAATAATGCCAAAACGAAAGTATGTAGCGGAAGAAATGCTCAAAGCGTATCTATTAATTTCTGTAAAAATGTAGGTATTTTTGTTAAAGATAAACAAAATTCATTAAATAACATCTCTGGCAAGTAAACAAAATGCCGCGTTCAGGCAATAATTTTTGAGGGACCTTTTGTACTTGTACTACTTGTAAAATCACTGTATATCTATACTTACTCGATTTCAGGTCTATTCATTAGCTGTGGTTCAATCGACATGGGAACCGTTCCAGAACCAGTAATTTCCAATTTCCCACCTAATTTTCAATAAGTTGAACGTTTATCCTACTTGACAAATGAATTGATCGACTGGAAATTACCGTTCTAGAACGGTTCTCATGTCGGTTGGAACAGAGCTTTCATCTACTCTTAAATTTCCTAGAGAAACCTCAACGCATGCTGTGCTTCATAGGTAGGGCATCATCATTTGAAAAATAGGGCATTGCCCCCCAATGCCCTCCCTGGCCTAGACACGTCCTGAGGACTAATATTTCATTATTATTAGGTACTCATTTTATAGAAGAAAGAAAAACGTAAAAAGAGCCAGGAGTAAAAATTAAAAAACAAATTAAGAACCTGAAATTCTAAAGTAGGAAAATAATGTCTATTCAAAAACTTGGAATGAAAAAATTCAAGGACTAAAAGGAAGTTACGAATTTAGAATAAAGAAATAATGAAAAATCTTTCAAGAGCCTAGAATAGGAAGAATTCTAAAAATTCAAGAATTTGACTTGAAAGAGAAACATTTCTTTGATAATATTTCCTTATTATTTCTCATTTTATAACGTCCGTCGATTTTAATCTAATACTCGAAAAAAATGTGAACTGGTGGCTTCCTAGATTAGAACGCCAATGGCCACCTGACGTTACACCTGGTTTTTGCCATAAGGTTTATCCCCTCGCTCCTCATACGGAAAGTGTCAGATTAAAAACGACAGACAATAGGTAATTTTTGTTCTACAGGATCATATTTTATTACTTCCATTCTCCAGTGATCCAACAACGATACACTAGGATTAAAACCTTCCTGTTGTTTATTGAAAATAATACGTTATCGAAATACTGATTCAATTTCATAGGGCCTCGATCCAGAGCTCGAGCAATTAGAGCTTGTTTCAGCTTTTTGTTTCTCCCTTGAACTGAATTTACCCCGTCGAGGAAATATCGGCTCTATGAATAAACTATTTAAATCCGCTCTAAATTAAACTCTAATCTGTGATAATACTTACTCAGGATTCTGTGTTACGGGATGATTTTTCCTGGGCCAAAATAAAAGGAAATAAGCGTATTCGCCTCACTGAATAGCATACCTTCGTCGAGCCACTGTTTTCTTTCCCATGGTTGTCGCCACACTTTTCATCAAACTTTTCATTCTTCCCAGAATCATTGAATTTGAGGTTGAGTAATGGAATTAATTTCCTTTTAAAGGGTTAAAATAAATAGTCAATTAATTTATTAATAAATAAAATCACAATATTTATATTGGAACAGCTGATTGTCTGATCCGATTAGATTGACTAGATTGACAGTTCCAAATAAGGTCAATGACCGGTACTAACTTAATTCAAATAAGTCCCATGCCCCAACTACCATCAAAATTCCCCAGGACCTTTCACCTTGGAGTTTTGACAGAACCTTTTTAAAGGACATTGCAGGGACAAGCAGAGGTCATTCAGGTCGAGGACTTTTCACGATTAAGTGTTCGGGAACATTCCTCAGGCACATTTTGCCGATTTTCTGAGTTATCCAGTTTTCGCTCATAAATCTAGGGTGGCTAATCCGTTATTTTAGCACCAAATCGCCTTGTGCGGATTTCTTTGTGAGCCGAAAAACAGCAACGTGATCAATTGTTTGTTCGTAAAGGCCAAAGTATTTTGGTAAGTGGTTTGTCTTATTAGTCTTCTCTGTGTTTCTCTATTGCCTATGTAAAAGCATGGTTTTTTGTTAATTATACGGTTAAATTCCGAATATTGGACATACCTACCTATCGCTCCACGCCCAGTCTCATAAAGTCCATTTGTTTCATTCAGGCCTTTAGACGTCACCTTTTATTCGTTACGCTTTAGTCCTTAACTTGAGTAGAGAGTTAACCGTTAAGCTTACTGTATATTTCAAGTCGTACCTCCTATCTCCAGCCTCCTCTAGACAATTGGAAGGTATAGTGACTCCTAGTTACTGAATTTCAGTGCCCAGGGCCAATTGCTTCTTGTTGCGGCCCCTGCGCTGCGGCCCTGCGCTGCGGAAGATATCAATCCAATCCTTCAGGTTTGCCTCCAGAGTTTAGGGACTACTCAGGTTTGATAAGTGTGTTGTATTGTCTTAATATCTGGTGCCTATCAAACCTTACCAACCCCTTGTTGGAGTAAATCACCACAACAACGCAGTTCTAGAATATTGAATTACCCTTCAGATTATGTGTTTTTATTTCAATTTTAATTAATTATCTATATTACCTTTATCTATATGAAACTTGCCATTCAGGTTATGTATTGTTAGGTACTTCAATTTTAATTATTTATCTATACTACCTATTTTATCACATAATATTAAATTTGCCCCTCAGGCTATGTATTGTTACTGCAACTCTAATTGATGATCTATATTTCTCTAACATCCCATGAATACATGCTGCACTGAATACAGGAAAATACTTGTACACTGGGGTTAAATGGCCATTTACGAAGGTACTGCATTTAGTAAACTTGTTTAATAATTTACATTTCAGGTATTATTGCTGTTATAAGTGTTATACAATACTCTTTATTTCTTTATTTAGGGACTCAAGTTACTGTAAATATTATTTTTAGAACATAAGGTTAGGTACTCCTAGTCGATTTATTTTGTTCTTGTTCTGGTTCTAGTGGTAATAATTTTCAGTGTTCCAGGGCGTTCGGAAGACCCACTCCGAACCTACTCTGGAGTTAAATTTGTTCTGGTTCTAATAAAAAACCCGTACCTACCTTATTGTAGCAAAGCGTTTCACTTTTGTCCTTCCTTCTTGGTTATTTTTATATTTCAGGTTGTGCTGCTATAGGTCCGTAGAAGTTTCCTGCTTTCGTTATATCGGTTGACTTCGTGTACTGCAGGGAAAAGCAGGTGGCGCTCTATATTTAATTATTTAATTGATCCACACCCCTCTCCGCATTGGCAGCTAGTCGGCAACCCTTCACACGAAGTCCCGTTTCTAGATTTTAGCCACCGACCAACCCTATCTTTCTATTTTCTTTTTGTTTTAGTTACCCATTCACTATTTCACTTCACTCACTCCCTCAAATTTTATTATTTACTTTTCAATCGTGGTTTGCGGGTAACATCTGGATAACCTCACATATGCCGAATACAGTTTTTTATTTTTTATTCCTCTACTCTTGGATGTGGGCCTCTTCCAACATTTTCCATATTATTTTGTTCGGAGCAGTCTGGATCCAGTTTCTGCATTTTTTTCTGATTTCCAGGATCCATAATCTGGAATTTATTCTGAACATATTCTGACTCCCAGAATAATTGATACTTTATCTAGAATCGTTTAGAAAGTATCTCGATTATCTTTCTGATTTCCTGAAGCTTCGCGTCTCTCCTTCCTTGGTATGTAAATAACTACCCAGTAAACACATCTGTGACATTTACGTAAAGTTTATATAAATTTTTAGCAGCACTAGTTTTATGTCAAGTTTAGTAGGTACAGTGTTTAGGTACATAACTAAATATACTCCTGGACAAAATTATCGCACCACTGCTTATGGTGCTTATGTGCAGTGGTGGTGCGATAATTTTGTCCAGGAGTATAGTTTACATTTTACATAAAATTTGCTGATCCAGGAAACCAAGAAAGCTATCGGTACGAAATTTTGTCCAATTGTAAATCCCGATTGGGGCTTCAAAAAAGGTTATTTGGAGCACCGAACCTTAGGGTTTCGTTTTTGAGATAATCGACTTTGACTTAAAAGGTTTTCCAAAATTTGAGACAAAGTTTCAACTTTGGGGCTCATCATCTCAAAAGCTATTCGAGATCAATGATTCAATTTTGTTTTATCTTGAAGAGCCTTTAATTCTAATTAAAAGCCCTAATTCTGATTAAGAATATTGTGATATTAATTGAGTTATGAGCGATTTCGTGGGGCAATGGGACAATGTCGGATAATCGAAATTTCTTAGGGCCAAAAATGCAAAACTTTGTTACATAATATGATATAGATTTCACATCTACTTGAACATGACATGCGTTACATTTAAGCTAAATTTTACCTTATTGTGACTCGAACAAAACTAATAAATTATATAATTAGGTGAAGGAGTGACGTAAATTTCTACCTTAACTTTATGTAGCTGTGTTCACTGGTAATAATGTATATTCTTTGGGGAGATTTTGAATTAAATATTTTTTTACCTTTTGGGAACCTCTACCAAGCTGGATGAACTGGTTTTACCGCCCACATACTTTTGGTATTTTCCTCCAGGATAGTAATTTTTTTAAAATCTAAAACGATTCAGCTGTTATGTGACTGTTTCAGAATATTTCATAAGCTTTAACTGTTCAACATCAAAAGCAAATCTATTTTTTAAAAATCTGATTTAGTATTTGACTGTTTAAGATGATTCAATAGATTACCTAGGAAATCAGAGAAAATACCTAATGATTCTTTTATTATTCCAGCATCAATGCTTCTCCACTAGACAACGAAGATATAAACGAAGAAGACACGACTCCAATCTGCATAAACCAAATGGGAAAAAAACTCCACTACATTCCTCAAGGACAATTTTCCATTATCAGCGCAAATTTCGCTTACAACGTCATCGAAGAACTACCTCCATACGTTTTCTATAAAAATTTGTACAAGAATTTGGAAATTCTCGTATTAAGCCACAATAGGATCTCCAACATAGATGCAGAAGCTTTTCGAGAATTAAGACAATTGAGAAAAGTGGACTTGTCTAGTAATAACATCACTCATCTAGAGGCGAATGTTTTTAGGCAAAGTCATAGACTGGAAAGGGTGGATTTGAGCTTCAACAACATAATCACAGATCCAGAAAAACCTTTATTCAAGTCCCAATCTGTACAAACTTTAATATTAGCCTACAACCAAATAGTCAATGTGTACGATATAACTTTTGCAAGGCTACCAAATTTGCAAATCCTCTTCTTGGACAATAACCTATTATTTTACTTATCGCCGAACTGTTTCGTACATTTACGGCATCTTCAGTACGTGTCCTTGAGCAATACAAACGTTTTTAAATTAACAAATAGTATGTTTAAAACGATACCGAGATTAATGGATTTAAGTGAAACACCTTTGGCTAAAAAATTCGAGCCACCTTTGAGGAAAGTGAGAAGTGGTCAGTTGGTGAAGCTTATGGATATTGAAGAATATATTTCAGATCTAGATGATAGTTAAGCGTGAATCTGTGATTAGTTGAATATTTTTAAAATAGAAATTGAGACTGCACATAATATTTTTAAGTGTAGGTTAATTTTAAATTTGATGCTTTTTGGATTCAAATAAGTCGCGTTTTTTTTTTTTTTTTGATGAAAAGCATAGCCAAAGAGTAAAAAAGATTTCTACAAAACCTTGGTCAATTTTTAAAGAAAACTGGAGGATATTTTATTTATTTATTTATAACTTTTCTCAACTCAACCAAAGTGACAAGTTGAATGCCTTATATCGTTCAATTTTCTATAAAAAAAAATAAAAAATCCAAGATATTGTGAAGATTTAACTTTTGGTGAGTGTCTTTATTATTTTAACCTAGAAATAAATTTGATGAATGTTGCTTCCACAAGGACTATTCGTATAATTGTTTTGGTATAACGACTGAAAAACTAGTTTCTCTTCTTGTAGAAGAATTTTTGTTTAATTATAATTATTTCATGCTCATATCCATATATTATATACAACTTTTATATGTTGTTGAAAGTATTATTATTTTATTGATGGCTTTTTTATGTTTATTTTGTTTTCTATTATTTATAATTTATTTGTTGTTGAATAATTGAAATAAATATTATTACAATATGGATAAAGTGTTTGATTATCCATAGATATATTTATTTATTTATTTATTAACGGGTAATTTCCCAATTAAAAAACAGTACAATTTTAGTAATATAAAATACCTAATTTCTAACCTATCCTTAAAACAAATTAAATTAAATTAAAATATGTAGATCAAATCAAATTAACATCAAAATCAAAATTAAAACCCTAGAAATCTGATCAACAATAACAATGAGTTGCAACACAAACAAAATATAAAATTTAAGTCTAAAGCTAAAATAAAACATTAAACAATATGTAACAGTTTATTTTTAAAAGTTCTTTGGTCGACAAAAAAGTCTAGATTATCACAGTGTTGATTGGCAAGTCGAGCGGTCCTAGACAAAAATGAGTTTAAACCATAGTTGGTTCTATGGGTTGGAGCATAAAAGGAATGGTTCTGTCTAGTTTGCCGTGAAGGAACGTGGAGCCCAATTTTTTCAGTGAGATCAGGAGCAAAACTGTGGGAGTGCAGCAAGTTGTAGAACATTGTTAGATCCCTGTGAAGGAATAACTCCTAATTCTCTTATCTGAGCAACAGCATTCAGCGGACAACCATTCACGGGGTGGGGTTCCTGCCACGACTGAAAATCATTAAATGGCACTTTTTAACATTTAATTCCATTCCATTTTGTGTACACCAACCAGACAGACGATCCAAATCAGATTGTATTTTGAAAAAATCTTCAGTTTTGTCGACTCTCATGTAAAATTTTAAATCATCCGCAAACATTAAAAAATGGGTGTGTAACAAAACAGGACGAAATATTATCATTAACGTACACATTGAAAAGCAGAGGGCCAAGATGCGAACCCTGAGGCAGACCTGATGGGACTTGGATCTCAAATGACTTGTAGCTGAATACGTACTACTTGCGTTCTACCAGAGAGATATGATCCCAACCACCTTAAAAGCCTTCCATGGATCCCCTTCACAGCACAGAGGCAAAAAGTCGCTTATTTACCGAGATAAAAAAAAAATCGGCGTACAACCAGGTGAAATGTTTATATTATTGTTAAGTATCTTAGTGGCTATTCGAAATGGTGATTTACGATATTTTTTAGTGGTCGAGAGATTTTTTATTTAAAAAAATAGCACAAATTTGGATAAAATCGAAAGATGTAAATTTTAAGTTCACACTCTAATATCTCTAAAACTAACAAAGCTAGGAAATCGACTTTTTTACCAAAATAAAGTCCATTTATTGGGTTTTCTAACAGACCTATACATTGCTGTACCGAAATATTTTATATATTTTTTAAATGACGTTTAAACTGTTACGTCACTAAATATGACTCTAGAATTTCACTAAGCGACAAACTTTTTTATTTTCAACTTTTTTCACATACATGCTGCGAATTTCATTGGTTGAAACTGGTTTTCTGACTGTTTTCGACCAATGAAATTCGCTCTGACTGGTTTGTGATTTCTGCAGAAACAGACCTATATTTATAATATGCAGACGGGTCAATTTTTTTTTTAAATTAGAAGAATAAAAATAAAACCAATAGGTATTGTTTTTAATCCTTATAATAAAGTAGGTACCTTGTGTTTAGTATACCTATTCAACGTCCTCTTCTTCATTTTCAGACACCTCCGTTTGTTCCATGATTTCTTTTTAATTTTTGCACTGCTTACAGCTACACTCATAACAACATTTCAGCCCCTCCTTAATGCAGGTGCATTTTGAATTCATGTTTTTCTCATCTGCACAGTACAAGTTTAAACCTTGTCTTGTCTTATAAATTGGCGCTCTGGTTGTTGGCTCGAAAATACTGGATTTCAATTCTCATTCTGAAGGATCCAACTATTACATTGGGGATCATTAGACCCCATCTTTGCTACGCTATTATAAAAACAAAACCAAATTCTCAGCCGATACATGCACCTAAAATTTTACGATAAAAATAAAATCAAACTTTGTATAAATAAATTAAATGATCTACGTGAGTAGATCAACTCAGTTGACTGAGAAAATGCTGATAAAATAACGCGTTAGTTGATGGTGGCAGTTCTGATGATGGCTTATCGGTTGTTGTAGCCATACGCAAGCAAATTCATTAAGTATTGTTATATTTTTATATTTATTTTTATATAGCGAACAGTATCTAATTTTGTAGCCAGCTTCAATGCTTTATCCTCTGAAAGAAGGGGTAAAATTGCCAAATCTTTTAGTTTAGGAAGGTTCTTTTTTAAGATGTCAAAAGCAGTCTTCTTCCAACTTTATAAAAAGCACTAGTAGTGTCACATCCGGTTAAGCAGTGAATTGCCAAAAAACAGGAACAAAGTTTCTTTACCTAAATTTTCCTGAATTTTACGAAATATCTGAGGGACTTGTATAGTAATCAAGAAGGAGCTGATACACGAATGATTTTTTGTGTAAAGTTATAGTGTATGAATCCCAATAAGCCAACGAATTTTGATAAAATCTATAGATACAGATGTGTTAGTTTTATTGATTCATTTTTATTGCTCTTTTGTCTACTTTAGAAGCAGTTGGGTTATTTATCGAATTGGGCCATGGTGCGAAACGAGACGATATGTTCCACCAAATATGGCTGTTGAAAATTCAGGTAAATAATTTTGTTCCTGTTTATTGGCAATTCCCTGCTTAACCGGATGAGGCGCTACTAGTGCTTTTTAGTCGGAAAAAAGACTGTTTTGACATTTAAAAAAAAAACAGCCTAACTGAAATATTTAGCATCTCTCAAAGAATAAAGTATTGAAGCTGGCTACAAAATACGTGTTGTTGCTATATAAAAACACTCAATGAATTACGCTTGCTTATGGCTACAACAACCAATAAGCCATCATCAGAGCTGCCACCAACTAACACGGCCTTTTATCAACATTTTCTTAAATGAGTAAATAATTTCATTTATCATTCAAAGTTTGATTTTATTTTTATCATAAAATTTTAGGTGCATGTATCAGCTTTGTTTTTTCACTGTGAACCCATGAACCCGGGCCTCCCAGTTCTTACGAGCGCCGGGAATTTGTCCCGTCTTCCCCCCCTCACTCTTGTCGGGCCTAAAGATGGGGTCTAATGATCCCCAATGTCATGGTTCGATCTTGGAAAATGAGAATTGGAATCCAGTCTTTTCGAGCCAACAACTAGTGCCCCAAATTATAAGACAAGGTTCAAGCTAATATTGTGCAGTAAAATGCACCTGCATTGAGGAGGGGCTGAAATGTTGTGATGAGTGTAGCTGTAACTAGTGCAAAAATCAAAAATAAATTATGGAACAAACGGAGGGGTCTGAAATAAAGAAGAGGTTGAATAGATACTGAAAACAAGATACCTACTTTATTATAAGGATTAAAAACAATATTGGTTTTATGTTTTATTCTTATTCTTCTAATTAAACTAAAAAAAAAAAAACTGACCCGTCTGCATATTATAAAATATATTTTCAGCTACAAAATCGTAGGTACCTACTAAATGGCGTAAAAACGACAAGCTGAAATGGCTCTTCCCGCACGATTTGCTGTGCGGGAAGAGATTTCTTCCCGCACTCAGTGCGGGAAGAGTTTGAAATAATCATTGTGACATGGAATTGTTTGTATTGTTGATACACCTATACTTGTACCTTTACCTTTTGAAAAATACCTTTTAATACATTTTTAATTCTACCTTCTGCATAATCGCATTTTATTTAAATTAAACTCTTCGTAACATCAGCTTTAGTATGCTCGTAGAAAAAATATAGTTCCTAACTCTTGCGGGAAGAAATTTCTGGCACTCGGGCGCTTCGCACCCTCGTGCCGGAAATTTCTCTTCCCGCACTCGTTAGGAAAATAGCTATTGAATGTTTATTCTTTCTTTGCTTCGCAGCATGTATGTGGAAAATAAAAAAGTTTGCCGCTTAGTGAAATTTTAGAGTCATATTTTGTGACGTAACAGTTTAAACGTCATTTAAAAAATATAGAACATATTTCGGTACAGCAATGTATGGGTCTGTTAGAAAGCCCAATAAATGGACTTTATTTTGGTAAAAAAGTCGATTTCCTAGCTTTGTTAGTTTTAGAGATATTAGAGTGTGAACTTAAAATTAACATTTTTCGATTTTATCCAAATTGGTGCTATTTTTCTAAATAAAAAATCTCTCGACCACTAAAAAATATCGTAAATCGCCATTTCGGATGCCCTCTAAGACAGTTAATAATAATATAGGCATTTTATGTGGTTGTACGCCAAAAAATTTTTTTTTAACATTTCATGGGCTATTTCGCTCCACTATAAGTACTTCGTGGTTTATACGATCGAACGCCTTTGAAAAATCGGTGTATATGGCGTGTACATGATGCCCTTTCTCCAGGGCCTCCAACAAAAAGTCGGTAAATGTGAGCAGGTTATGTTTAGTCGAGCGATGCGCGAGAAACCCCAATTGCTTGTCACTAAAACTGCTTCTCAAATTCTTAGCTAGAAAATCACAAACAAGGCTTTTAAAGACTTTAGGTATACCACTTAATATACTAATGGGTCTATAGTGATCAACTTGAACTGTATCTCCTGATTTTAGAATAGGCGTAATAAAACTAGTTTTCCAGAAAGTTGGAAAGATACCGTTGTCCAAGGATAGAGCTACATTGTTTTAGAAGTCTAGGGGGAATCCCATCTGCGCCTGCACTCTTGCTGATATCTAATGATGACAGTTTTACACAAATTTCAGAAATAGAGTACATTTGCGAAAAATACTCAGCAAACAATTTTACAATTTCGCCACCAGTTGAAGACCTAACATTATTGTAGCACATTTCAGAAGGAATATCACAATTTCTTTTTACTGTTAACAAACTTCCAAAAGTTTTTAGCATTAACCCTCAAGGAAAATCCAGTTTGGGCTATATAGCATTGATAACACTGATTCTTAATGATTTTACATCTAGCTCTCAATGCAGAAAATAACTTATAGTCCTTATAGAGTCCAGTTGAAACGTATTTTTTGTGTCCTTTTTGCTTTTCAAATATTGTTTCCTTC